TTGAGGTTGTTGTAGACATCTGCATTAGAGCTGCAGTAATTAGTCAGTCAACTGGAAAATTTAAAACAACTATTCTGATCATTGATTGATATTGTTTTAAGCAAAAATACTAAATATTACTATATTAAATTATATTAATATCTACTAAAAAGCAACATCAATGTTAAGAAACCATTTTCAGGTATTATTTATTGGGAGATCAGATAACCCACCAACTGTCAACAGATTCTGATTTAAATATTGTTAAATCCTTATTGGTGCATGCGAGTATGTGACATCATTTTGAGCCCTGCCCCACTTCAAACCAACAAAAAAAAACAAACAAATACAACAATGTTTCTCGTGAAATAACCAAAACTGCTCCAAACTGTGTGTTCAGACTGATACAGATTTATTTTCCTCGTTTACTTTTGTACTTGGTATATTACTAGTAAAATATGCAGCATGCATGTTCAGAGTGATGTCAAGCATAGCAATAAATCCATGCCAGTAATTTAACTCCAGAAGTTTTTCAAATCTGTTAAGTCCAGAGGCCACATCAGAGCAGACTTTCCAACTCGCTGTCTTGTTAGTCACTTCTACTTACGTGGTTGATGGGGTTTATTGAAGGTCTGTGGCTTATTTGGGATTAGCTCAGAGCATATGGCTAATAGTAGGGTGTGCATGTATAAGGCAAACAAAAATCAATGCATGCTCTACAACTACAATGTAAATGCTGTTGCAGGCCCTGGGCATCACCCTTTCACTGCCACCTTTATTGGTGCTACATCATTTAACAAAAATACATCACTTTCTGATTTTTCTAACTGGACCAAAAATGGTCAAATTATTTTGATGTGTCTCCCTCCATGACGATTTTTTGTTTAAAGGCAGCTTTCTCGCTGTTAATGATCAGTCCAGATATCATATCAGTCATTTATTCTGTTGACTTGTCTGACTTGAATGATGAACATGTTTACTATTTGACTTATCAGGACACTGCCAAGCTGCCTCTTTTCCCAGCAACCAGCCAAATGCTGCCTTTTTCCCCTTGAGGTTTTTGTTTGTCACTTGTGCTAAAGCTGCATTCAGTTTAGTCCAATTATTCTTAAAAGTTTGATGGCAGCTCCAAAATTAAATTAGCTGATGAAATTCTGGTTCACTGCCGTCTCTGTAGATCAACATTCTGCATAAACCAGCTGAGAGTGTGCTGCATGAAAAATAGGAAAAATAGGAGTTTACTACTACTGTACATGTTGGAACCCTAAAGACTGAAATAACAGTTCACATCAGCCTTTATTTGTGATGTTTAGCAGAGGGAGAGTGCTGATGTAGGATAATTATTGAAGTGCTCTTGACAATCGTGTTCTGAATAGTAACGCTTCCTTGTCCTTCCACTCAAAGAAAGCTTGATGAATACGTTTAGCTGCATCTCGTATTGATTTCTCACATTTAACATAATTTAAAGAGCTTTCCGTCTCAATGGCTCAATTTTCTATTGTCTCTTTTGCTGGTAGGAAAGGAAGCTGTGGTTTAAGTGAGTGAATGAGTGAGTTTAAGTCAGCTGTCAGTAAAATCCATGTGATACTCTATCAGAGGATTTGTGGTTATAATACATAACATAATCACTTGCAGTTTCCATCAGGTAATTTCAGCTCATTTAATATCGAATGATCTCTTTTATTGGGACGATAATTAAGCTGCTTGTAAGAACATGCAGACATGGTGAAAGTTTGCTTTAAAGTGAAATTGTTATCGTTTTGTTACGTCCTGTTACGAGCAATTTCTTTTAAATTCTTGAAAACACAAAAGATCAGTCACATATGTTTAACCTGCTACCTATTTGTGTGTCCTTCTTTGAGTGAGAGTCACGTGCCTCTGCAGTAGATGGAGGTGTAGTTGTTTATGTGATGGTCTGTTTCTCACTCTTGACTGTTAACACCAAAACAGTGTGTTGGCTGTGTCAGCAGGGGGAGAATCACCAACCGTATCGCTGACTGGCAAACTAATATTTCCATTCTCAACACTGCGCAACAAACACAGCAAAACAGCAAAGCCCTCACCAGCAACATGCATAATGTCACTGTTTGCATGCCAAATACATTTTACAGTTATGTACAAAGGTGAGTTGTATCTAATGTCAGAGTGCTAATAGTTTGCACTGCATAAGGTTTATGAAATAACATGTCTGATGTCAAACACACTGCAGTGATACTGTTTCAATTTCTTACATCATCCCATCCTCTCTCATGCACTTTTATCAAATATTTTTTACAACAGACACAAGTACTAAAATAGGACACGGGGGGAAAAGATGGGGGCTTGCAACTAGCAAAACAGAGCTAGACATGGCAACGGGCTACTGAGCCATAGATCTGTCAGAGTCAGCGGGATATCATTGTGAAGACACAGACATGTACAGATGCACAGATAAGACAGCCGCCCTGGTTTGACCTCTTAGCTCTATCCTGCCACCCAGTGGTGTGGGCGTGCTATTGAGTTGACCCACTGCTCCATAAAGTTGTGAGTAGTACTCAGTCTGACGAGTGAACTGATGTTGGTGTGTAAAATCTGTGGAGGGGCCCTTTAAATCATCATCATCAATCATTTTGAGCTGATGAACTGTAAGTACAGAAGAGTTGAAATAATTGGTTGATTTATTGATTAGTCGATCAACATAATGAGCACCTATTTTCAGAATCGATTAACCTTTCAATCATTTTTCAGGCAGAGATATCCAGGCATGTTCAGTATTAAACCAGGATTAAAATAGCTCTTTAAGTAGAAACAACACACAGTATCACATTGTGCACTGTGTTCTTATACATCCCAAACTCTCCTGGGCATAAATAAATTATTTTAAAACTAGATAAGATGCCGTTCTCTGAATATTTTATAAGGTGATAGCAAATCACATGAGATGTACTGCAAGTGTTGCTTATGAATGCATCCCCTACTCCAAACTGTCCTTGGGTTAATCTTTAATAGTTGGTGACATTGTCGGAATCTCATTTATCTTTTTTTAAAGGTTTTTTTATGATACCGAGCAAGGAAAAAGGAATAATCATTTCCCTGTCTTTTTGTCAATGTCAATTGATATCGGCGACAAACTCTAGGTGAATGGAAAGTTAATATCTGCCTTTTGTAGCACTTAACATGCTACAGGCCATGCAAAAGATGCATAAATTGTCATCACATTTTGGATTACATTTTACTTCTTGAGAAATCTTGGAAAGGATGCGGCTGGAGATGTTTCTTTGAGGTAGACAATTTACTCAGATGACCTAGCAATAACCTCACATGGAGTTGAAATTGAGTCTCCCTGACACATTGCTATTGCACTCTATAACAAACTTCAGTTGCCTTTTTCTCTCCTTAAAGAGGCTGTCGGAAGAATCGCTTCAATTACCTTTATGTCCCATTTTGTGGTTTTACTGAGTGTAGTGAGTGCATGCAAGTGTGTTGGCATCAGATGACAATGGTAATTATTTGGCTAAGCCCTGGGGAGGAAGGGATAATCGGCGATTATCAGTAGATTGATTGTCCACAACCAGTGTCTACTTTGGTGCTGCTTGAAAGATTGATCCAGGTGGGAGAATTTACCCTGCATCATTTGTATGCAGGGTACATGGAAAGAGAGCCACACAAAAATCCTAACACACACACTAAATGTAATGCACCAACAGAGGAAAAACAAACAAACCACTTTGTTCTTTCTGGGTGCCCTTTATCTCCTGTTCCCTTTTTTTTCTCATCCTGGCAGTTAATTTCACCTATAAGCGCACATGCTTTCTCTCTTTCTGTCATCAATCATATCAGACTTCTGTATAACAGTGACAACTGTTCCGACTATTCCTGCAATTAATTCCTCATATATATCAATGTGCTTACTCAGCATTTTTTCTTACCTTTTTTTATCATATATGATAGAATAGAATAGAATGCCTTTATCGTCACTGTACACATGTACGATGAGATTAAAAAGCCAACTCCAACAGCAGTGCAAAAAACAGTGTAAAGAATAAAAGATATATACAATGTAAACTTAGGACATAAAGTAATTGTACAAATATTATATATAGATATTTGACTATTTGGCCACACCACCCTATTTAGACATTTCTGGACTGCCTGCATGGCTCATCTGCCAGCTGCCCCTTCCCATCTACCCACTCTGGATGTACTTAGCAAGTGGCTGGCAGGCAGAGGAGTAGATAAAGGAAGTGGAGGGAAGAAAAGGGAGCGGTGGAGGGAGGCGATGTGGAACATATTCATCTGGCTTCATGGAGGCACATTGTGGTGTATATTAAAGCTGCACTAACCAATTTTCCTGTATTATGGATCAAATCACCATGTCTTTTGTTGAAAAGGGGTTGTCTGTAGTGACACAGAGAATTATCACCCAAATCTGCAGTTCCTCTAATCTCTAGTGTTTCACCATCTTTGGGCTTATTGTCTTGGTTTTACAGCCCACAACATTACTGTTTTGATCTAGTCTCATCAGCATCGTTTCCAGCCACAGCAGACAGCTACTTCCCATCAATAAACTAAAGACAAACGAAGTTAGCGAAATAGTGGCAATTTAGGAGCTAAAGAGCCAGATGTTTCCCTCCGGAGTTGGCGGAGAGCAAAACAGCTTTAAGGAGAGTGAACATTGGATGACATTTATCAGACAACTTCCAAGGAAAGCTAGGCATTGTGTCGTGTCGGCTCCATTTGTAATCAGGCGACCGTTTGCAAAGAGAGACACTGCATCACATTTGATCAATCAAAGTTGATATTGTGTTAATTCTGATCCAGTTGTCCTTGATATGGCAATGCTGGGCTCATAAAATGTCTTATTTTTACCATCAAAAGGCATTGTGTTCCTTATAATATATGTTAGTATTAATACAAAAACATCCATTGTCAAATAACATTTTTAAAAAGTGTGAATAATTTCCACTAATAAACCTTGTTTCACCTTGTAATGCATAGGATGGGAACCAATATTAATCTGCTGTCACTTTGTTTCTCTCTAGAATCGACAAGAGCTTCTCCAGGACCAGGACCTTATGGTGAGTGCTCTCCTTATTTAAAAACAACATGATGCATCAGAAAACTTTGTTTCATGGTTGACTGCTCCCAACACTCCCCGATGTTTTATTTCCAACTATTGAAGTTTTTTAGATGGAAGATAGTTTTCCTATTTCACATGACCAACCGCAGTTCGATCGGATCTCTAACTTCAATCAGAATGAAACTATAACATCACAAGCTAACTCAATTCTACATTCTGTGTCAAAAGTTCAGATTGCACTTTATGTCAGCGTTCATATTGTCTCTCACCCATGCTCACTGTCAGCATGGATTTCTGTTTTGTGCTGCAGAAATAAACAAGAAATTTTCCATACTTTTACAGCCAGTTGACTCAGCATGCTTTGTCCATCAATTTACTGCTTAGTCAGTTGCTAGCAAGATTCTTCTCTTTAATATTCTCAAAATGTGCTTTTTTTTGTGAGGACAATATGATGACCTGAGTAAAGATATAGTTAAAGAAGGTGAGGGCTGGCAAGACCTCTATTTTTAGAGCGGTAAAACCATAAGCAGACCTTAGCTCTTCTTTATCTCAACCCTGGCTTTTTCCTGCCTCGTATTAGGATTTTAAATCTTGCATAAAATTTTCTCACTGAGAAAACCTGTCTGCTCTTATGCCTTTGGACATCTGCATATGATCAAAATGGAGATAGCAGGGCTTGTAATGTTCCCTACTTGGCAGGTAGTCTCACAGCATGGAGAAGGGAATGTGTGGCTGTAAATATAGGAGCAAGAGCAGATGGAGGGAGACAGGGAGCACAAGTTTGAGTGTAACACCAGCTGGCCATGTCCAGCACTCGCCTCTGAGAGCTCAACCATCAAGGGCCACAGAAAAATTGATAGTAGGCTACCACCTTAACACAGATTTGAAATATTTCATTTATTTTCATAGTGCAGTAATGAACCTATGCACTAAAATTATGTTAGTTTATATTCAAGTCCATGTTTATACTTTGCAGATATTTATTTGATATTATTATTATTATTATTATTATTATTATTATATTATGTAGACGTTCTAAAACGCACATTATGCCATGGATTCAAATGTCATCATGACCACTGGTTACTGTAATTCACATTTGTATTTAACAGAATGTTTCTATTTTTCATAGACTGAAACTCGAAACAATTCATCCCTGAGTTTAATTAGAGATAGAAATCGAAAGAGAACCGAAAGAGGAAGAAGAGTAAATTACATTTTCTTTTTGAGTGTTTGTGCGTATCTCTGTGTTTCATACGCAGTAAAGCAATAGAGTGTATCCTTTTGTGTTTCTTCATTATTATACATCAAATGGGCTATAGACTTGAATCATAATGAGTCTGGATAGGACAATGAGATGGGAATACTGGAAACGGGAAATTGAAGGTGCAAGGATGATACAGGCTCATCAGAGGAGAATAAACCCTTGCACACCCGCTGAATTTCATTATGAGGATTCGGGTTTCTCTCTGTTGCAAACAGGTCTGTAGCGCATGCTAATGGCACCTCAGGGCTGGGCTGTGCAGTTGCTAGCTATCCACAGTGCAACTCTCTGATTATAATCACTGAGTCATTATGCCAATTGTGTATTCCATCAGTCTCAGGCTGCACTTAGATTAAAAAAGCCTAAATATCAACAATATTTTTAACATTTAATAATTCCTTTCTTTTACCCTGGAAGTGATTTCTTGGAGTTTTCTCCAAAGTTCCAATTTCATACATGGTTGGATCACTTACTTACTTACTAGAAAAGGTTTATGACTTAATTAGGACATGTCTCTGTTTAGTCATAAGGACGTTTGTGCAGCTCCCTTCATCTCTGTTACCTAGTCTGTCACACTCCTATTGTGTTACGAACAGCATTGTGTCGGTGAGATTGACGAGAGCAGCTTCAAACCACAGTCTGTCATTAAAAACTGGCTTTCCTGGATCCCCTGCCATGTGCCACTGCCTCAAATCCATCATATTATCCTCAACCAGCCAGGTGTAGAGTGGTGTGTGGTGTGTAGTGTGTGGTGTGTGTGTGTGTGTGTGTGTGTGTGTGTGTGTGTGTGTGTGTGTGTGTGGAAACAAACACGCAGTGCCCAATTTTCAGTCACTCTTGCCGAGCACAACCATCTCCATCCTCCATCATCTCACCCTGCCACACAAACACACTGTTCGTGTTGATGTGACGTGAGTAGCCCTGAATCATTTGGACAAGGGGCTGCTCTTCATGAAAGGTGGGAACACACTTATTTTACGGTGCTAAACTGCTTACAGCACAATGTTCCCAATTAAACACTCATTAACTTGATTGCTCTCGATAATGGTGGTGCTTATCTTCCTCAGTCTAAAGCTCCTGCTGTGCTGCAATAAGGAGGCCAGAATAAATGCCATGGCATTTCTGCAAGAATTGTCCTTCTGGATGTGGAAATTTTTGTCCCTAACAACTTGATTCTACTCTAATGGGGGACATTAGAATTACATATTACAATTAAAATGACCGCAAAAAAAGCGGAAGAAGTTGAACAGCATTTCTATTGTAGTCTATGCATCAATTTAAATAATTTCTTAATTAATTTAACTTGTTTAGTTAGGGAAACCCCTCAAGGGGCTCCTCTTTGAGATAATGCAATATATTATGTATGGGCACAGCTGGAGGTGTGTCTGGTGCCTTGCAGCCATCTACTCTGAACAGCTCCAGGGCCATGAGTCTGAGCAACCCTGTGACTGACATGAGGAGCTGGGTGGTAATGAAGTGATCCTCAGTGTTAAACGATGAGGAAGAGTGGGGCGAAGAGGACTCTAATTGGGCATCTGTGCCTCTTCAGATTGCTGTTAATGGCCGCTCTTCCTCTAATATAGGAGTCAGTGTCGTGAGGAGAAAGCAAACAGGAAAAGAGAGTAGCCAACTGGAGCTCAATGGGCAAATCACGGATTGTATACTGAGCCAGGGCATGGCTTGACTCTCATGGGGACAAACAAACTGTTTGCATTTGCCATATTGGATGTTGAATGTAAAATATATGCAAAATGTGAACAAAATATTAGGGAAGCCTTTCTTATATTGCCTTGCACCCAATTTTGCCTCCCAAATAGCCTGGATGGGTTGATCTAGTCTCACAGATGTTCTATTGGACTGAGATCTGATGGCTGAGCAGGCTATATTGCATCAAACTGAATTCATTATAATTTTCATTGAACCATTCCTTGCGGTCTTAGCAAATCCCGGAGCTTTAGCAATTGGCACAAGTATGTAATTAAAACACACCCACACCATTCCACTTTTAGCACCTTCCTGCCGTGTTGACACATATGTCATGAGGTAATTTCCTTTGGAAATTCCTCCCATGAATGTAAATAAATATTTTACCATGTCAGTATGTCTACAAATCATCATTGTACAAAAGTTAAATTTCTTGTAGAAGCTGTGGAACTGTGTAAGCTTATTGGACGAGACACAGCATTCTTATCAGGGTTCAAGTTTATGTGTTCCTCTATGAGTAGACCAGACTGTCATTTGGCTGGACCACGTGTTGCTCTGCACAATTCATTTAAGCCTCTTCTGATCTCGTCCTACCCTTCATCTACACTGATTGAAGTGTACTCTATGGATGATGTCAATAAGAACCATAGCCTTCGACTGGATTTCATTCAGGCAACTCCCTCTTTCCCCACCCCACTATTTATTGTTTTTTTCACATTACAAAGTGTCCAGTCCAATCCATGAATTACATTAAGTTTATCACAGCTCCTTCTGAGATTGAGTGATCACATTTGCATGTGGCTATCATGCCTATCGGTTCTGACATTTTCATTTTAGAGAATTTAGACTGCGGACACTGCTGACTCCAATTGGAATCACAGAACACAAGCTTCCGGCAGGTTTGAACAAGTCAAATTAAATTGGCTACCTAATCTGCAAAATAATACAAGTCAAAACATTAAAAGGCATTGCATAAGATTACATTGCAGAGCTTCTTTAGGCAGGAATGGATTACCAAAGATAACCATCCTTATAGTATTTACAGTATGTGAGCACTCAATATTATTCAATCGAGACTCACAATAGATTTTACATAATAGTCTTGTTTTTTTCCATTTCAAAGGTGTGTTTAGTAATATCCTGTGTCTAAAACATCTACAATAAACCTGACTAAAATATTTTCATGATGGTTAAAAATTCAAATCCTACAATATTTCACTGTAGCTTGAGTCCTTTTGTACTAAAAACATTAGTGGTGGGACAGCAGCACTCATTAAACCTAAGTCGTGTCTGTGGGAATGTTTCACAGGGCAAGAGTAGCTGACTTTAAACGTGGGCAAAAAGCACTGTGGCTTTGGCTTTTTTAGTTGATGGACTGGTTGTGTGTTATTTTGGCTGCATTGAAACACGGCAGGAGAGAGACCCTTGCTGCGACCCAGATGGGTGTGTCCAGTTCTCAGTGAGTTCAGAGAGGAAAACATTATGACCCAATGCAGTTGCAATGTGGTTTGCTTATGCAGGTTGTGCCGAGGGCACAGTCGGAGAGAAGCGTGGCGATGTTGTAGGTTATTTTGGCAGATGGGGTTCGCCTGTTACTCAGTGCACCTGTTCAGTTAAATACATGCTAGACTGCAGCTGTGGTAATAGATGAGAAATGAGCCTTGAATGCTGGGATCTTTTTGAAGTACTGTCCACCCTATTGCTACTCTTAACATCTTTTTGAAGATTATAATCTTCAGCTTGAAGACACTGTGACTGAGAGGTGTTGTTGAAAGGTATTACTGCGTATTGAAAGATATTTTTGTCGAATCTCCATTTACATACAGATTATTTAAACACTTATTATTGTAATATTATAGCACACACACAAGTACCAGCTGTATAGTCCCCTCAGTTGCACTTCATTAGCCTCAGTATAGATGTATTCAGCTAATTAATTGAAAAGCTTGGATTTATTGAGGGGTAATGTTGCTTGCAGTTGTAGCCATTTAACAATATCAGGAGGTCGACTCCATGTAATCAAGCTCTAT